GAATCCAAAGGGGCCTCCTATGTGTTCCCAGTATGTAAGCAGTCCTTTTTTGTTTTGTTTTGTTTTGTTTTTGTTTTTGGAGAGGGTTTTTGCTATAGGGCAAGTGCACTCACCAGAAAGACAGAGAGACAGAAAGTGAGAAATCACCCCCAACCCCCAGCAGGGATGGCCATGCCATAATCCCTTCTCCTCCATTCTCTTCTCAGGATCTTGGTCATGCACGCTTTTTTTTTTTTTTTTTTGAGAGAGAGAGAGACTTTTGCTAGCGGGCACATGCACTCACTGGAGAGACAAAGAAACTGAGGGAGAGAAAGTGAGCAATCACCCCGCAGTGAGGATGGCCACACCACAGTCCCTTCCCCTCCATTATCTTCTCTGGATTTTGGTCATGCATGCATACATAGCTGGCATGAGTTTCAAGTAATGGAGTCTGGGGCTCAGACCACAGCTGAACATGTGGGAGTCCAGTGCCTTAACTTCTACATCAACTGCTGGCCCCTCCACTGCATTTCTTTACCCTCTTAGTTACTTTATATTTATCATGATATTTACTTCAAAATTTTGCTGTTCAATCTCTCGGTCATTTACTCAGGTTAATTCTAAAAAGAAATGACTTGTGAATTGATTAAATACTGTTATCTCTACAGCTGTTATACAGGTCCAGATTAGTAACATATTAATAACCCAAATGATAAAGACTGCAGTTCTCCCCACAAAACATTTACATGTGGCATAATTCTAGCTCTGCATCTTCAAGACATATAGACAAAACAGTCGTTGGTTTTCACTGCATGAAAAAAATTATTTCTAAAATTGTTTTTTCTAAAAGAAAGTTATCATTAAGTGTAGAATTCTTTTAAATAATTACTTATTCTAATTTTATTTATTCATTCATTCATTTTAACTTGACCAGACAGAGAGAGGGAAAGTGAGAAAGCAACCCACCAGGTCCAGGGCTCAAACTGTGGTCAGCCATGTGTCCAGCACCTTAACCACCACATCACCTGCTGGTCCCCCGTAAGTAGAGAAATTAAGGGCAGCAGTCACTTTTATAAGTAATAAAGATAATTACCTTAAAAAAAATAATATGGTGGGGGTGTCTTCAAAAGTTCATGGAAAATATGTAATTGTGAAAAAACAATGCACAAATTTCAAAAGTGTTTGTACCAAAATAAACTTGAACTTTAATTCTATTTATTCACTAGTTTTCTGAAGCCCCCTTCATTTATGCTCAAGTGTGTATTTCAATGCTAAAGCTATTATATATTGGCTAAAGATATGAGAGGAAAAAATTGACTTTAAATCATTGATTTAGATGGTAGATCCTTAAAATGAAAGTATTAACATTGCTTAGTTTTTCTTCCTACAGGACACGACATAGCCAAATGAAATTTTAGTCATATTATTATCTGAGCTAGTGGCATTGTTCGTGTTTACCCGTTAAGAGATCCAAACATTGATTATTTGTTTTTGAGACAGGGCCTTGCCATCTCAAGATCCTCCTACCTCAGCCTCTCAACTGGGTTTACAACCACACCTTTGGGACAGACCCAGAATCCAAAGGGGCCTCCTATGTGTTCCCAGTATGTAAGCAGTCCTTTTTTGTTTTGTTTTGTTTTGTTTTTGTTTTTGGAGAGGGTTTTTGCTATAGGGCAAGTGCACTCACCAGAAAGACAGAGAGACAGAAAGTGAGAAATCACCCCCAACCCCCAGCAGGGATGGCCATGCCATAATCCCTTCTCCTCCATTCTCTTCTCAGGATCTTGGTCATGCACGCACACATACCCAGCATGAGTTTAAGCAACCAGGTCCAGGACTCGAACCACAGCCGACTACCTGGGAGTCCAGCAACATTACGCCAACTGCTGGTCCTGTAAGCAGTCTTACCAGTACAAAAGCCTCAAGGCAACTTGGCCTGTAATTTGGTTGTAAAGATAAACGTAAGGGTCAACCACTGGCAGCGGGGTGATTAAAGCAACTGGATACTACGTAGCTACCTGTGCTGTCTAGTCCCAGACCTGGCAAAAAACACACATGTGTTCATGGGTGCCCAAAATCCCAAAACTGGAAGTTAAGGGATTGTGGTGTGGCTATCGTTTCCCCCAGGGTGATTTTTCACACACCACATTCCTGCCCCACTCCCCATTCTCCCTGTCTCCAGTGAGCATATGTACCCTGTAGCAAAAACTAACTAAAATTATAATAAAATAAACATGAATCTCAGAAAGTGCTAAAAATGTTGTCTCCAAAAGAGAAGAGAAAACTTTCTCTACTTTGATTCACTATGCTTCACTGGGAATTTTCAAAGGCAACATGACTATCTGTTGCATTTTACATCTAGATGGATGCAAATCAGGACCACTGAGTATCAGTCTGAAGGTGCCTGATGGAACCTCACCAGGCTTCTTATGTCACCAGGGAGAAACTACGAAGAGGTTCAGTGTCCTTCCACACAGCTGCTGAGCGCAGATGCCATATCCAGCCAGCCTGCTTCTCAGCGCAGGGTTCTTTGCCACCGCATGGCCTCACCTGGGTAAAGGTGAACCATCATATGTATAAAATAATAACTGCAACTACAACAAAACTGCGCGTTTACTGAGCACATAGGATGGCCTGGCTCTGCTGCAGTGCATTCCATGAGGTGGCTCATTTAACCCTTCCAGTATCCCAAAGATGTGAGTGTTCTGACTGCCCCTACAAGTTTAATGTGCATCCCCAAGTGGGCCAGCAGTGAGGGCTGAGCCACAGACTACCTAAACCTGTCCTGAGCCTCCACTTAACCCATGAACTGTGCATGATGAAGTACCAGGACTCAGTGTGTTTCAGAAAGAGCCTCTGAGAGGGCTTTATTATGGCAACTCTTTTTGAGAGTAAGGAATTTCAGTGTGAGGGGCGGGAGGAGGGGGCAGCTTAGGGGAGAAACTATTTTGCCTCATATTTCTGAATACCTTCCAGGTCACTGTTGGAATTGTGTTTTAGAGTAAGCATTGTAGTCTTATCACCTGTAAAATATATACATTGGCTAAGGAAACTTTCACCCCTAAATTTGAACTTGAGGGGGAAAAAGGCAAAGAAACTTGGGAACAGCTATGAGGCTTTGGAAACTCAAAAACACCCAGGAGCCGCAGCGTGCAGAGGTAGTTCTCCAAAGCACCGATACCCTCAGTCCCTGGACTCTGTCACCGTAGTAAGACTGAGGAACCCCACGATCTGTCCTCATCTGTGTCCCAGATCCTCTGGGCTTGTGTCCCAGGCCACGTGCACTGGGGTCGCTGCTGACATTAGGACTTCAGGCAGTGACAGCACGGAAGGGTTATCCAACCACGAATCCCGCTCTTAGGGGCACAAACCTCCCAAACCCAGTGGGCCAACTTCCAGTTCTTAGGTCTCAGAAGGAGCAGGTTCCAGGAACCAGAGCAGCCCCGGGGTCTGCAGGAGGCTGGGCACTGGGAGCGGGGCGAGAAGCAGACGTGGGCCTTTACGCCAGGCGTGACGAGTCGGCAACCATTGGACACAAATGGCCTTTCTCTTAATCAGCAAAGCCGGCGCCCCGCCTGCCTGGCTGGCAGCGGTTCTGCGCAGACAGCCTGGAGTTCCAATGGTCAGAACTTGGCCAGGCGTTCTCTTTGGCAAAGGTTCCCGCCTCATCGCTCTAAAGGGTACGTTCACTCGAGTCCGAGACAGGAAGTCGAGAAGAAGAGGCGGCAGCAGCGCCACCTCCTTCGGCTTCTCTGCCCCTTCTCACCTGTTCTTGGAGTCCCTAGCCTTGGATTTCTCTGCGCCCCGCTGCCAGCGCCCAGGTGCCCCATCGGGCCGCGCGGAAGACCAGCTCTGAGCCTAGCTTGGCCCTGCTCCCCTCGGGTCTCGTCCGCGTGGCACCGGGGTTGCAACAAGCTTTGCCAGGGTTGTAGGGAGCTTTGCCCCGGTTGTAACACCAACATTCCAGGCGCGTGCGCGCCGAGGGGGAACAGAGGAGGGATTTCCTGAGCGCTGTGCACCCCCAATACTGACTAGAAGGAGGAAGGAACTGAGCTAGGCTGGGATCTCAGCTCGCCTTCGGGCAGTCTACACTGCGGTAAAACGGGCCGCACGCGGGGCGTGTCCGATTATGTATACGCGACCACCGTCTAGTTATAACCACCAGTCTCCACCTTGAGTTCTTTGTGCAGTTTGAGTATTATTCCAAACTCCCAGAGACCCGCTGAGAAAACTTGGGGGGTGCGGCAGGTGGAAAGTGGGTTCAGCACCGGGTTCTCCAGAGCGCACTCGGGAACAAACTACTCTTGGGTGCTTCAGCGACAGCGATGCGGCGCGCGCGGGGGTCCGGGGACTGGAGGGGAATGACTGTCGCCTGGGTCCGGACACAGGGACGCATTTTTGTTGGAGGTCACAGAAGCTCGTTTATAGCGGGCTGGAAGGGGCATGGAAGGAATGAGAAGAGTGGCACAATGAGCCTTTAAAGAAACCTGGGACTGGGCTGGGAGCAGCCGGGAAACCCGGAGATCCCGCTAGCCAAGTGGCGGCGCACGCTGCCGAGCGTCCGCGGACTTTTCTGAACTGAGGGGGTACTCGCGGGCAAAGGACTGGGTAACAAGTTGGCTTTTTTAAGCCTCTGCACGCTTCAGACCCTGGTTGGAGCAGGGTACTGGGAGGGCGCCGGTAACTGCTAGCCCCTCTCGGGTGAACGGGGAGTGGGGAAGAAAGAATCTCAGGTAGTTTGACAGCACCTGTCGCACGTGGGCAAACAAAAGCAGCGGCTCAAACAGACCCCACCCTGCCTCCTCCTCCCGCGCCCCACCTCCCCAGGACCCTCTCGGTACCCCCCTCGACCACAATGGGCAATGGTCAAAGTTCGTAGCAGCCAGACAGCGCACACAGGAACGCGTGGCCGCGCGCACCTCCCCGGGTCCTCCGCCGCAGGGGCAGTGGACGGGGGTATCCGGAGAGTCGCGCAGAGTGGCGGGGTTAGGGGCGGGAGCTCGGGACGCGCGCCTGCTCACCTCGCTCGGTAGCCTGGATGTAGCGCACAATGTCGTCCAGGTCTAAGTCTTTGGTCTCGTCGAAATGGTAGGAGGACGTGTGTAAACCCTCCTCTTGGAAGACCTCGTGGACCCCCTCGAGGGTGAAGTAGCAGTTGCGCTCCAGCTTGTCGTCGCTGTAGACCAGCGAGGCGCGGCTCCAGTGGTGGTGGCGGAACAAGGCGAGCATCATCTCGCCCATCTTGGCGTAGGCGGGCGCCACGCGCGTGAGGTGCGAATACTCGGTGTCCTTGTGCTGGAAGCCCGCGGCCAGTGCCCCGGCGGAGAGCATGGGCAGGTCCCAGTGCGACGCTAGCCGGGCCACCGGCGCCGCCGCGTACTCACACACCGGCCCGAGAATGAGATCCGGCTTGGCGCCGCGCGCCGCCGCCACGCGGTCCACCAGGCTGAAGAGTGCGCGATTGCCGCAGTCCGAGTCCTCGTAGGCCACTTGGAAGCGAGTGCCCGGCGGCAGAAGCTGCCTCCGGGTCCCGTTGCCCTCCACGCTGCGCAGCGCGTACTCGATGGCCGGCCGCACGCGGGCCAGGGAGAACAAGTACGAGTCGTCCTGGGGCAACAGCACCAGCACCTCGATCTTCTGCGGCAGCAGCGCCTCTCTCTCCCGGCGCCCGCTGCCCGCGCCCCCGCCGCCACCGCCACCCGTGCCGCCGGCCAGCAACGCCCAGTCGAGCAGGAGGCACGCGGAGAAACTGAGCGCCAGCAGGGAAGGCATCGTGCCGCCAGAAAGCGCTTGCCCTCGCCACCGACTCGCCCTCTGCCCCCCACCCACCCCTTCTCTTTCCTCCCCACTCTTCTCTCCGAGGTCCCTGCGCCCCCTTGGGCGCTCTAGGAAAACAGAATACCCTCGTCGCTAACGCGTCAAAAGATAGGAAGAGTCCTTCTCTGCAATGTCACTAATTAAAAACAAAAACAAAAACAAAAAGTTCAGCGAGTGTAAACCTGTGCGTCTGTCATACTCTTAAATACATATAGCTATAATTATAAATAGATACATAGATAGTCGCCCTCCTTTTATACATATGCTATTTTGCTTAGAGGTGGCTTCTTATTTGGGCGTTGCTAAGGTTGCTTTTGAAAGCTTATTTGTAAAAGAAGAAAAAAAGACTTGTCCGAGTGCTTGTAATTGACGGTGCATCTCCTTCGCGTTTGATCTCATTGATTCGCGCCGGTTCCTGGATCCATAGCCGGCGTTTAAATAGCGTGGCAGCGGCGGAGCGTGTTACCACACATGGCGCGCCGAGGCCGGGCTTGTATTTCCAGCGGGTGGGGTGAGTGGGTCTGGTGAGATGCTGAGGGAGGCGGG